AAGTTTTTAATTTTATTGTGTATTTCTGTAGTTTATTTATTATCGTTTCTCTTGACATACTATACAAGCTTCAGTTGACCATGCAATATTACACACGCCCATGTTGACCTTGAAGTTACACATGCACACGTGGGATCTTCTAGAATACTCCAGAATTTTCTTAACCTATTGGTTGTTAGTTAGTTAGAAGTAGTTTCAGATATTTATCAGTTGTTTTTATTCTATAAATAGCTGGTTGTACGTTTACTTCAAAGATTAGATACATTGAATAAAATTTCCAAGTTCTTTTCTTCTTTGTTCATACGAATCATCTTAGTTCATCTAGAAAGATTTCAGATTCTTAAAATCTTCATGGTATCAGAGCTTACAGAGCTAACGCCAAGATAAATTCGCATAACGAATAGTAATCATGCCTAAATGAGCAATGCAAGATATATCTAGTCCTCATTACATTGGGTCTGGCGACAATCCGAATGCAGTTCTTGTCAATCCTCAACTCAATGGAAATAATTTCCATTCATGGAGTAAATCCATGAAGATAGCTCTTGGTGCGAAGAATAAAATGAAGCTTAGTGGATTCTTAATTCATGCACGAAGGAAACAGCTCAGTGCATTCTATATGAGGAAACCGCAGCTAAGATGTGGTCCTCTTTGAATGAAAGATTCTCTGAAGGTAATCTCCCTAGAATAATTGACCCGCAAAAGCAAATTTATGCTACAGTTCAGGGCAATTTGAGCGTAACAGACTATTACAATAAACTTGATAATCTATGGAGAGAGTTAAGTCAATATAATCCGGTTGTAGGATGTACCTGCGGTATTGTTAAGACCTGCAAATGTGACTTTCTGAAAACATTGCAAGAAAAGGAAGAAAGAGATAGATCAATGAAATTTTTGATGAGTTTAAATGATGTATTCACTGACATAAGAGGACAAATATTGATTATAAAGCCTTTTCCTCCATTGAATCAAGTTTTTAGTTATGTTCTGCAAGACGAGATGCAAAGAAACCTAGGCAATGGTCTGAATGTTGAGCCTATGGTGATGATGAACAATGGTCAACAACCTAAACATGAGGAGTTCAATCATGGACTAACTATGGTCAGAACAGAGGTTTTAGGCCATATAATCAGTCTCAAAAGAAAGAAAATAAACTGATTTGTACTCATTGTGGTTTCACAGATCATACTGTGGACAAATGTTACAAATTGCATGGTTATCCACCAGGATACAAGCCCAAAGCTAGACAAAATTATATCGGTTCTACTGGTGGAAACAACACAGGACAAAATAAACCTTACAACACTCAAGTGGAAGTGATCCCTCGGGCAGTAGATGATAAGGCAGTTTCCAATGTAACAACACTTGCTTAGTCTGATCCAAAATCTGGCACAATCCCAAAACAACAATCTTACACCTTTATCTTCAAATCAAGTATCCAATTCAGGTAATATTTCTAAGTCTTGTACTCTTATCACAATAGCAAACATAGTGTTACCATCTTGTCAGTCCTGGATTCTTGATACAGGAGCCACTGATCACATGATCAGTGATATTTCACTCTTTGATTCCTTCAGCCCTACTTCCAACACATCAGTTCACTTACCCACATGTTCAAAAGATGTTGTTACACATATTGGAAACATAACTCTTTTCCCAAATGTCATACTGACAAAGGTTTTATACATACCAAACTTCAATGTTAACCTTTTGTCTGTGAGTAAACTTTTGTCAGAAACTTCATTGACACTTACCTTTTGCTCTAAAAATGTGTTACTCAGGACAAGGCTTTGAAGGAGAAGATTGGCATTGCTGGATCCCCAAAAATCCATTCAAGTTTCTAATCCTTTACATGTTTCTCACAATGTCATTTCTAGTCTGTGGCATAAGAGATTAGGCCATATTTCTGATTCCAAACTTCAAATAATGAAAGATGTACTACATATTTCTGATTTCAATAATAGAGATTGTAATATCTGTCCTATGGCAAAGCAACACATATTATCTTTTCCTAGAAACTCAATAAAGTCTGCAAAACCGTTTGATCCCTTACATTGTGATGTTTGGGGCCCATTTTCCGCACCTACTTATGATGGTTTTCAGTATTTTCTCACCATAGTAGATGACTTTTCCAGAACTGTTTGGTGTTGTTTAATGAAACACAAATCTGAAACCCAAAACCATATAATTTCTTTCCACAAAATGGCCTCAACAAAATTTTCCATCAAGATCAAAGTTCTTAGAACTAATAATGGGACTGAATTTTCCCTTCCAGATTTCTATTCTAGTGAGGGAATAATACACCAAACTACATGTCCATACACTCCACAACAAAATGGAGTAGTAGAAAGAAGACACCAAACTCTTTTAAACATTGCCAGGGCCCTTAGATTTCAAGCTCAACTTCCTTTACCTTTCTGGGGTGACTGCATACTCACTGCAGTTCACTTGGTTAACAGAATTCCTACTCTTATTTTAAATAATAAGTCTCCTTTTGAAATATTTCACAATAAAACCCCTGATTATTCTTCTCTCAAGACCTTTGGATGCTTATGCTTTAATTTGCTTCTAATATCATTGGTCACAGAGATAAGTTCCCGTCAAGAGCAAGAAAATGCATACTTCTTGGATATCCATCACATACCAAAGGCTACAAACTCTATGACCTCCACACTTGTCAAACCTTTATTTCCAGAGATGTGATTTTCCATGAATCTGTTGGAAAAATGTGTTAAAAATTGCATTAAATGGTCATTTTGGGGCAATTATTTGAGTGGGGTCCACTTCCGATTTGGGTCGGGTCAAAGTGGTTTCGTATTGTCCTTGTTAAGGGCTACAATTCGATATGTGGTACACTCAAAACGGATAACGGTTGAATGAGAAATTGATTCTCGAAGTTCACTCGTTGAAATGGAAGAACTGGGAAAAATGATGAGTTTCTAGTGTGTTTTATCCCACACCGAAAAACTCAAGGGATTTTCACCCCCTTATAAAGGGAAGCCTCTTTTAAGGAGTTAAGATTCCTAAAGGAAAAGGCTCTCTCTTACGCGCAGGGGGGTGCCGATCAAATCCCGAAACGGAGAAGAAAAACCGCGACTCGTGTGCGCGGGCGACCTGCGGACACAAATGTCGTCCGAAAACCTATCATTCAAAGATACGGTCAATTTTTGTTTCTTCCCGTAACGTTTTATTTTTCCCAGTGACAGAAGGGGTGGAGTTCTGTCCGGAACAGAGATGCTCGAGTTCTGTCCGGAACAGAAACCCTCGAGGTCTTCTGTTCGCAACAGAGACCCTCGAGGTCTTCTGTTCGCAACAGAGACCCTCGAGGTCTTCTGTTCGCAACAGAGACGCTCGAGGCCTTCTGTTCGCAACAGAAGGTCTTCTGGTCCGTTACAACAATTAATGCCCAACGTTCTTCTCTTTTAATGCTGCGTTAAATGGACAGTTTATGGACGATTCAATGCCAAACGGACTGGTCATTGATGTCCAACGTTCAGGTCCATTAACACCCCATTTAACACACAACAAATCCTCCTATAAATAGCTGGCAGGTGGTTTGCAACAACACAACGCACAATACATTCCTCACGTATTCTTGAGCTAAAAATACCTACAGCTACACTGAAAATTCCTTCTGTGTTCTTACTTGGTTCTCGTTCGCTGGAACTCTTGTTTGTGTGCTCAAACACTAGTTCGTAGTCATCGTATCCTGGGAAACGATTGTTGCAATGCTCCTAGCACTGTGGGAGGCAACAAATACGTTTTAAGGACATCGTGCGTAGCACGAGCTTTGACTAATTCTGCTTCATCTCATTTCTTGTTGTTCTATAGTCATTTTATTTAATTAATTTATTTTAATTAATTTTCTTTATTTTCTGAAACACACCCAACAGAATCTTCCTTTCCATTTCACAATCTTTCATCCTAGAATAATGATATTGTCATTCCCAATGTTATTCCAGATCTCACCATTCCAAATCCTACACCAACAAACAACACCTACCAATCATAATTCTTCTTCCACAAAAAAAAATACTTCTAATTCCATCCCTTCTCACAATTCATCTATGATTGATCCCAATACAAATGACACCCAACCCAACATCAATTCTCAAATTTCTTCTGTCAGACCTCCTAGATCAAGAAAAGTTACTTCCAGACTTCAAGACTATGTATGTGCAACCAATCACACTGAATCATCAGTTCATTCTCTTCCCAATCAAAGACCAAGTCAGGTAAACTTCTTCATCCCATGGCACACTACATATCTTTTCATAGATTTTCTATTCCCCATCAAACCTTTTCTGCTACTATATCTCATAACATTGAACCCACATCATACACACAAGCTTCTTCTAATGCCAATTGGAGAAAGGCTATGCAAGAAGAGATTAGTGCACTTGAGTCCAATGGAACCTGGATTATCATTGATCTGCCACCTGGGAAATCTTCTATTAACACTAGTACAAAAAAGCCTTTTCACATCGGTCAAAAACGGTTTTTCACATCGGTCAAACAGCCGATGTGGTTCCAGCCCATTAGGAAAGTATTGACTTTTCACATCGGTCAATGAATCGATGTGGAAATTCTTTCTACATCGGCCGCTCAGTGCCCGATCTAGAAGATAGTCCAAAACGTCGTTTTAAATGATATTTCACATCGGTTATAACCCATGTAGAAAAGCAATCACATCGGTTATTTTACAACTGATGTAGAAAAGCTTCAATTTTTCCCGGAGCATAGGTTTTTACATCGGTTATAACCCATGTAGAAAAGATTTCACATCAGTCATTTTATCAACCGATGTGAAAAGCTTCATTTTTTCCGGAACATATGTGTTTCACATCGGTTATAACCCATGTAGAAAAGCAATCACATCGGTTATTTTACAACTGATGTGAAAAGCTTCAATTTTTTTTGGTATTTTTCAGGGAAAAAAATTTGTAATATAACCCCCGTTTATACTATAATCACATCATTGACAGTATCATCAACTACTATAGCAAAATTTTTCACTTGTTCACTTGATCCATCTAAAACAATAACACAAGCTATTTTTCAATTCTTCCACAAATGTTAAACAAGTTCAAGTAACAACTTAGTACATAATAATAAGCTAAAATAAAACAATCCTTGCACAAGTCTAAAGTAGTAACACATTGTATAAAGTTATAAGTCTCATCATCACTCAAAACTTAAACAAACACGTTCATCATGTGTCGTTGATGGATTGCGTCATTTCTAAGAAATATGATGCCCAACGAGTTCGTACTTCATCAATCTCTTCTGATGAGAATGGTTCTGAATTGGCGAATCGCTAAAAATTAAATAAGAAGGTTAGAGCTGAAGAGTCTCAACAATGAATAAGTCCATTATAATAGGCTAGAGCTGCAACTACAGCAGCAAAAAAACCAGTTCTAAAACAAGGACAATAATACTCAAATATCTACCTTAACTGAAGACAGCATGTATATCAACTTTTCACTTTCTTTTGCAGAGATAGGTGAATCAAGTATCTTAGATTGCACGTTCTCCGATTCAACTACCTGAAATGTAAATAAATAGATGAAGTTGAAATCCTATTATCTTATTCTTCAAATGAAATGGAAGAATAAGAAGTAAACATGATAACTATGGTGGGAGATGATGACAGCACTCATTAAAGAAAAGTAAAGAAAAAATAGAAACTAATCAATTGTATAGGTCAGAGACATTACACAATGAAATAATGAATGGGAGACTGTTAACATCAATAAATAAAAAGAACATACAGGAAAATCATAGATCGCAACTATCTTACTTACTGAAATCTTCGGGCATAACAAAAGAACGTAATCGATTTCCTGAATCAGAAATTTTGTTTTTTTATGGTAAGCTTGCATGCAATTATTTATTGAAGAGTGATTAGAAAATTGAAGTCTGAACACCCAACTCAAGAGCACACCATGTAAACACTGATGAACTGTACCTTCAATTTGAGATAGGCAGGATCAACACAATGGACAAGACTTAAACTTAGCAAATTGTCAACCAACTCCATTTGGACCTTTTCTGAATCAAAGTCACCCTTACATGACCATGCCTCTAATCTAGAGAGGCAATCTCTTATAGTTTTAGTCCAATTCTGAGATTCTACCATCTTCTTTGTCATTTCTCTGACCTAAACCCAAGTGAGAAAAATACGTATTTTGTTTGATGAAAGTAACCAACAAGCACAAATGAGAAAAGATTATCGTGTGATAGAGAATTTAAGCTAACGTGATTGATGGATAGTGTACCCGAGGGTAGCTTATCCGAGGGGTTATTTCGGGGAATAACTAGAGAGAAGTCAGAGCAATAAGTAGAGAGAGAATATGTATTCAATATGCGAATTTGTGATGCCTTACAATGAGGAAATGGGCTGTTAGTTATAGCAGCAATAAATGCTAGATAGGGACATGTGTCAATAATCTGATGGTCGAGGGGTCACTTCAACCGGGTGGCACCGACACCTACATGTGGCCGCATTAAATGCAGTGGTTGGAGGTGACGTTTGTACTTGGTACGGTGATCCAGGCGCATGTGGAGAGGATATTCTGTCGAGGGAAGTGCCTTCGGCTGAAGGGTGTTGGGCCGAAGGCTCTTCTAACCGGGGACCTCCCTGTGCCGAGGGCTGTATATGTCGAAGGCTTGGTTTGCAAGCCTTGTTCTCTTGTGATGTATCTGAGCTCAGCTCTGTAAACGGTAGCCTTCGGTTAACGGGCCCCCATGTGCCGAAGGCAACCCCTTGTGTGTTGTGGGCTGCTTAGAGCCTTGTTTCGCTGGGTTTGGCCCGTTTGGGCCTGTTGGGCCTGATTGCAGTATTGGGAGTACATGGGCTGGGGGTCCCCAGGCCATATACTCCATCAATGATCCATTTCATGACCACCCCACAGAAACTGTTCAACCTTTTTCAGTGTATCAATATAAGAAGCATCACACGAATATGGACTTTGTACAATCTTGACATAGTTTGAAAGCCATTTGTCAGCAAGTTGCACATGGGTGACAGAGTTACCCTTAATCTTGACATAGTTAACCTACAATCAGGGATGAAGTTGTACATGCGAGATTAAGATATGTAGAAATATATTTTGCAGTGTATAAACTAAGCTAGCAAATTTCAAAACTTTTAGCTTTAATACAATTATACAAATAATACATTACTAAACATTCTGAATGGGGCATTTAATCAAGTTTGCTCTTTTTTATAACAATAAGTCGCTTGGAAGTAGAAAAACCTTCTTTAATAGTGCAGGTGAATCAGTGGAGGTGAGAGGCTGGTTTTGGATGTTTTCGGATGGACCCTCAGAGCTAGACTTGTCAGTAGAAAGCACTAAATCACTCAGTTCTGCCACACTATGATGATAGAAAAGGCGATGTTTGTTGGGCTTGCACTCGCAAAGATGTTCCCAGTGCTAAAAAAATGTATCGCAACGATTACACATAATAGTTAAAAGACTGCAAAAGTTGTTTAATTTAACGAAAATTCGTTGTTTATGAATAAAGTCAATTATGAAGACATTTACAATGCCAGGAAACAAGCGTTTTTAATGCACGTGTTTAGTGAAGCAACTTAAAATTCTAAACACATTACAAGTTTATTGCGATGTACAAAGTAAAATAATTAAAAAAAACTCCACATGGGCAAACCAAGTTCACTCACCTCAAGGCAAACAAAAAATGATGGCCTACAGATGCACACTACAGCAGAAAGATACACGTATTGTTGGCATGTAATGCAGGTAGGATACTGCAAAGAAGATTGTATAACATGTCAATAGTTTTAGCATGTCATTAGAACACACAACTAAAAACAAAAACAAAAAAAAACTGAAAGAAAATATTCTCAAATACCTCTTAAGTACTCAAATACTGAGGTTGCTTATGATGTGTCTCCGTGAACTTCCTGTAAATGAAAATGCATTTACATAATATTTCAAGTCTAGAAAAATTGAAATACCTCAAACCTTTAGTACAAAAATATAAAAAACTGCATGATGATTCATAAATAAGTTAAAACTAATTTTAGACAAATAAGCAAGTCAAAAGCTTAATTGGCTTATTCAAGTGAAAGCAGAATAAACCAATTGGTGCTACGAAACGGGGCCAACATATAAAAAACTGTGTTTGGTAATGTCTTTTTCCTGTTTTGGAGAGCTATTAGTGGCATACTTCCATACTTCATTCAGCACTTCAGTGCTATTTGAACCATTAGGGCTCTGGTATTCCAAGTTTTACTAATAGAGTGATATTAGCATATTTTGTCGGGACAAAATTTTTACTATGTGAATGTTTGAAAGTTGTGAGTTTGACAACCCTGCAGAGAAGGAAAACCTTTGCCTTTACAGATTTCCTAGTGAACAGTGGGAAGTAAATTTGCCTGCTGAGGAAATGGAACTAACTAATTAACTCATCCGTCAGTTGCTTTCTTGGAAATTCTGGATGTTCTATAAAATTACCATGTTCCAACATCACCTAGTCGTTACACAACAAAGCTGTAATTTTTCTTGAAATAACTGAAAATAGCATCCGACATGTAACCCTAACCCCAATTTAGAAGCTACAGTATGAGAGGAAATAAACGGAAACCAATTCAAATTAAACACAGAGAAAATTGGCAGAGAAAATAAAGGGCAACCAACGACGAAGTAATTATCGATGGGTTAAAAATCGAGCAAATCGAGGAAGTGTGAACCTTTAGACCAGAACAAATCGAGTGCAACGAGGTATTGTTGGGTTAAAAAATGTAATTACTCTTACCAGTTCTCGCTCGAACGCCATACGTCGAAGACCGGGCAACAGTGAAGGTCTACTCGCTCGAATGTCGGCCGAAGACGAAGGTTCGCCTGCATGAAAGCTGCTCGAACGTCGTCTGCTCGAACGCCGTCCAAAGCTTAGTTGAAGTCGGGAAGTGGAGTCGCAGCCTTCTGTAACTCGCTGCCTTGCGTCTTTCACATACACCATTCTAGGTCTGAAATCGGCTAATAATAACTGAATTCTTTTTTTTTGTATTTCTTCCGCATCGGTTTTAATCGATATAGATTAAAGTTTCCTTAATTCTGAAAATTACCCCGTTTTGTTTTTCACATCGGTTCTAGAGCTACCCGTTTTAGAATATTTCGGAATATTTTAAAAAGTACCCCATTTTACTATTTAACATCGGCTATAATGACAACCCATGTAGAAAAGTTTATAAAAATTATAAAAATGACCCCATTTTAGTATTCCACATGGGATTTGAAATAACACATGTAGATAAGGTGATGTAAAAAGGGTTTTTTGTACTAGTGTAAGTGTAAATGGGTATACAAGATTAAATACAATGCTGATAGCACCATAGAAAGATACAAAGCTCGTCTTGTTGCAAAGGGTTTTACTCAAATTGAAGGGTTTGATTTCCTTGATACCTATTCACCAGTAGCTAAGCTCACTACAGTCAGTGTCCTTGCATTAGTAGCATCAAAAGGCTGATTTCTAGAACAAATGGATGTTAACAATGCCTTCCTTCATGGAGACCTCCATGAAGAAGTTTACATGCAAATTGCAAAAGGCTTCACCACTCCAGAAAAGAACAAAGTTTGCAGGCCACTCAAAAGTTTATATGGTCTTAAACAAGCTAGTAGACAATGATTTTCTAAGCTGTCTACTGCCCTTAAGATCTATGGTTTTGAACAATCTCATGTTAACTACTCTCTTTTCACCTTACACACTGATCAGTTCACCATGATTCTTCTGGTTTATGTTGACACTACTAGAAAAAAGCCTATTTGCTGTGGTTATTTTCACCTATTTGCTGCGGTTATTAACCGCATCAATTGGAGGGGCACCAATATGTAGTTTCACCTATTTGCTACGGTTCACAACCGCAACAAATACTAATTAATATTTTTTAAAAGAATACTTTTTGCTGCGGTTGAGCAATGACCGCAACAAATACTATGATGAAATTTATGATTTACAACACCAATACTAGTGTCCATTTTTTTTACACTTCCCAATAAACACTTAAACATATTTACAATTTTACACCATAACAAGACTTGTTTATAAAGAAAAAAAACTGAACAATATATTTCATGAATCACCAACAATATCACTTATTATATATCACAAAAACATCATATACATCCAATACAACAACAAAATTAAATTTAGTATACATTCTTTAAATATAAATTTCAACCGACTATCTGCATTGCAAAGTACATGGCGCTTGCAGCAGCATACTGTCCCTGGCCAAGCTCCACACATGCGTATCATGCCACCTCATTTGCTTCCTATTCATGGAATCCTGGAGCTCCATCTCCTCAGTTAGTCCGTGAAGTGAGACCTTCATCTCTTCATCTGATTCAACTTATTCAGCTTATATTTATAGAAATATAATATTAAACACTCATAAAATTAAGAAAATCATTAAAATAAACTAACTGAATTTATAAAAAGAGAAATATACCTCTAATAACTCTAATAAGTAAAGAGAGAGCGACCAGGTATTTTCAGCACTAGCAGAGCTATAGAAAAATAGCAAAATATTAATGTATTAGAACCTTGCAAGTTTGAAAGGGTATAAATGACAAATTGACAAGGATTACATAGAAAAGTTTACTTCAAGGTATACGCTCTACCTGCTTTGACCTTGCCACAATCCTTGCACAGCCTCATATACCGACCACTTTTCTCTTCACTACACACTATAGGCATAACAAGGATTGAATAGAATAATTAGATAAACTAATAGTAGCCCTAAATAATGAATATGCAGAAACCATATGGACAACTGGATGTACCTTGCCACAAAGCTCAGAGAAGAACATTCTATTTTCCATGACTAGTGGAATATTTTTCCAATTTTGGCCATATTTCCACCTGTAAAAAACCACTAAACTTACAAAGTAGACATATGCGTTGTCAGCTTGAATTGCTGTGAAGTTGGCTGATTCTAACGTCACTTTAACTATGTAAAAAGATTAGGAACTTAATTTGACCAAGAAAGGAGAGGATAAACCAGCGGTAGCGTGGCAAACAGCCAGGCGTCATTAGTCTTCAGCGAAAATGTCCAAGTACACTATTTGAAAATTAGTAACTTTAATTAGCAAATATGCAAGGAGAATATTCATGTGGAGAATTGATATCTTTTTTTTCTTTTTATCTTTGTTATGTTTTTATATCTTTCTATCCTTCTTATCTTATCAATAACAACAACATCCAAGCCTTAATCCCAAAAAATTTTGAGGTCGACTAACATGAATCGATCTATGATATCGATGCCAAAAAGAGAAGGCGGACAAGAAAAGGAAAAAAAGTAAGATAAAATGAATAAAATAAAGATACATAAATATAAGATAACAATAACACAAGAATATAACCAAGATAAAAGAAAAATAAATAAAAGAGCATAGAAAAACTAGAAGATAAAAATAACATAAGAATATAAAAAAATAAGGAAGATAAACGATAAAAGAAACAAGAGAGGAAAGGTAGACAAGACATCAATCGTCCACATGGATGTGCACCCTCCACTTTGCTCTCTCCAAAGCCATACTCTCATCCAACCCAAGAAGACGCATATCAGTTTTGATTACTCTAATCCAATTCTGTTTGGGTCTTCCCCTCCCTCTCTTCTCTGACTCTTCTCCCCACCCCTCAAGTCGTCTAACAGGTGCATCACTCGGTCTTCTATGCACATGCCCAAACCACTGCAAACGAGACTCCTGCATCTTATCTTCTATAGGTGCTACTCCCACCTTTTGTCTGATTACCTCATTCCTCAGGCGGTCTTTTCTGGTATGTCCACACATCCAACGCAACATACACATCTCTGTCACACTCATATTTTGAATGTGGCATTGATTCACCGCCCAACACTCTACGTCATACATTAATGACGACCTAATTGCTGTACGATAAAATTTACCTTTCAGTTTAGTCGGCATACCTCGATCACATAGAAATCCTGAAGCACTTTTCCATTTCATCCACCCAGCTATGATTCTATGACATACATCTCCATCTAATTCACCATCCTTCGAATTATGGATCCCAAGTAACGGAACATATCACACACCGGTATCTCCTTACCATCAAGAGTAATCCCACTGTAGCTACTGCTTCTACCTCCACCAAACTTGCACTCCATATACTCAGTCTTACTTTGGCTCAGTTTGAAACCCTTGCTCTCCAATGTTTGTCGCCATGCTTCCAACTTTGCTTTAACACCGGATTGTGTCTCATCAATCAATACAATATCGTCGGCAAACATCATGCACCACGGTATATCTTCTTGAATTGACTTCGTAAGTTCATCCATGACTAAAGCAAATAAGAAAGGACTCAGAGCAGATCCTTGGTGCACTCCAATAGTAATAGGGAACTCTGCGGTCCTCCCTACACTAGTGCGGACACTTGTAGTACAAGCATCATACATATCCATGATGATGCTGATATACTTACGTGATATGCCTTTTTTAGTTAAGGCCCACCAAAGAACTTCTCGAGGTACCCTATCATATGCCTTTTCTAAGTCGATGAACACCAAATGCAAATCCTTTTTAGTGTCTCTATACTTCTCCACAACTTGTCTAAGAAGGTGAATGGCCTCAGTTGTTGAGCGTCCATGCATAAAACCAAATTGATTCTCCGAAATTTTCACACTTTTACGTAGTCTTTGCTCAACCACTCGCTCCCAAAGTTTCATGGTGTGACTCATAAGCTTAATCCCTCGATAGTTAGCACATTCTTGTACATCACCCTTATTTTTAAATAAGGGAATGAGAGTACTCTTCCGCCAACTCACTGGCATTTTGTTGTTTCTCCAAATCATGTTGAAGAAACGTGTTAGCCACTCGATGCCTTTCTCTCCCAAACTTCTCCAAGCCTCGATCGGTATGCCATCTGGGCCCACTGCTTTCTTCCGGCCCATTTTTCTCATAGCCTCTTTAACTTCTGTTGTTTGAATCCTTCTCACGAAGTCCCTATTTACCATACACTCTGGTATAGTAAGATCATCAATACCTTGGACTTTATTCCCATTGAATAAGGTATCAAAGTATGACCTCCACCTCTCTTTTATTTCTTCGACGTCCATTAGTACCCTTTGATCGACATCCTTCACACACTTAACTTTTCTGATATCTTGAGTCCTACGGTCATGAAAGCGAGCAAGTCTGTAGATATCTTTTTCTCCTTCCTTAGAATCCAACTTTACATACAATTCCTTATTCACTTTTCCTTTGGCTTCCTTCACGGCTTTCTTTGCTCTTCTTCTAGCCTCTTCGTACTCCTCTATGTTCTCGTCGCTCCAACTTTTGCCCAATTTCTTATAACATTCTCTTTTGGCCCTTATTGCTTGTTTCACCTCATCATTCCACCAAGATGTGTCCTTTTTTAGTGGCAGACATCCTTTAGATTCTCCGAGTATCTCCTTCGCCACTTTGTTAATGGTGGTCTCCATTGATAACCACACATAATCCACGTGTGCGTCATTGTCAATAGACCAAACATCTTCCTCCAACATTTTGTGTGCAAAACTTTGTTGGAGATTCCCCTCGAGCCTCCACCATTTTATCTTTGGCTCCCCTTGTACCTTAACTCGTCCACTCTTTTTACCTCGAAAATCAAGCACAAGCATCCTATGCTGAGTGACAGCACTCTCACCTGGGATAACCTTACAATCAGTGTAGCTAGTTCTCCAAGTCGTCCGTACTAAAAAGTAGTCAATTTGGGTACTATTAGCTCCGCTTCTATAGGTGACAAGGTGAGAGTCTCTTTTCTTGAACCAAGTGTTCATCACAGCCAACTCATATGTTGAGGCAAAATCCACAATGTTCTTCCCCGCTTCATTTCTAATGCCAAAACCATGTCCGCCATGGACACTCTCAAAACCATCACGACTTGGGCCCACATGCCCGTTGAGGTCGCCTCCTATGACCAGTTTCTCTCCCCTTGGCACTCGTCGCACCACTTCCTCAAGATCTTCCCAAAATTGTTGAGTGATAGATGCATCCAATCCCACTTGTGGTGCATAGGCACTAACCACATACACGATCTCATCCCGTATTATCAACTTAATGCTCATGATGCGATCATTCTTCCTAAACACTTCAACCACACCATCAACATAATCATGTGCCACCATAATGTCTACTCCATTTTTGTTCCTCTCTCTCCCCGAGTACCAAAGCTTAAAACCTCCGGGATTAATCTCGCTTGCCTTTTCTCCAACCCACTTTAGTTTCTTGCATGCACATTATGCTGATATTCCTCCTCTTCATAACCTTGGCTATATCAGATGATCTTCCCGTAAGAGAGCCAACATTCCATGTCCCAAAGCGCAATCTAACACCCTGCCTTCTCTTCTTCACCCCACATCGACCCCCACCATGCCCTTGCATATTTGACACCATCCCCGGGCATTGGAGTGGCACATCACTTCCGGGCGACGACCTAGCAGCCTTAGCATTCTTATCACCACACCCAGGCCTATGAAGTGTAGCGCGCCCTTGCTCATTTGACACCACCCCCAGGCGGAGGGATGACACGTCGCTTACGGGCGACGACCTAGCTGTAGCGATATTCATATTTCGATTCATTTCATGTGATGTGACTAAGTGATACTGTTGGCCGTCACATGCCTACCACAGCACCCTCCTCCTTTATCCTGGCTTGGGATAGACATGATACCAAAAAAATGATTTCATGGTGGAGTTATCCTTCTTATCTTATACCTAGTATTTTTATCCTTTTTATTTTTATCTTATCTTTATTTTACTTTTTTATGTTTTTTTATCTTATCGTATCTACCATCTTTATTATTATCTATTTATCTTTATTGTCCTTTTTAGCTCCTACATTAGGTGAATTCAAACTCTTTTGGGACTAAGGCATAAAAGGTTGCTCTAAAACTATTTTTTCTGTATAAAACCATAAGCTATCTTTTATAACGTTGTAAATTGGGGGATTGGTTACTTTGAGCACATTAACTGAAATGGGAAGGAAGTGGACATGGAGTACTATCGGACTCAGACATGAACATCAGAATAGGATACTACCTTCTGATGTTTGATATGAGATCCAATTCAATGCCATGATGCTTAATAAGTTCATGCATCAAAGAACCACCCCAACAACCAGCTGCAAGTATTTAGCTGCAACTACGCTAAATGTTCTTGAATGTCTGAATTGCTTCAACTTCTCCATGATTGCGCGGTCTTATTGTTTTAACAATCAACACAGTAATAAAAACAATCAACACAATAATTAACTTCTGATGAACTGCCGTATTTGTAACCTTAATAAGGAAGTAGCAGGCTCGTGATAGAACTTTGCATATCAACCTTCTGAGGTAAATTGCTTATTCCGCTGCACATTAAATATCATCTAAATGGTTAATACGAATGAAATATTCCCTCCACTCCATAGAAAGTTTTATATTTCAATGGCTTTTTCCAAAAAATGAAGTCCAGGTTTGTCAAACATGACACAATTTAGGGATGGGGAGTATCATGCTTTCAAATATTTGAAAATTGCTTCAGAGGTCAATAAGCTGGTTGTAATAGGAAAGAAGTGAATAAAACGCACCTTCTAAAAATGAACATTACATACACAAATTTAACCATCAGCAATACTACTAATGCCAACACCAAATATCATTACCCTCTCCAATTAAAAGTAATCATACTAACTACTAAAATGATAAATAAATAAATCATCACTAACCTTGAAAGAAGCTAATAGTAGAGATGGGAGTCCTGGAAGCTGGTAAAGCTGCCTCCTAAGGAGCCCGGACGATTCATGTGAAGCGGACACAGACAGAGCGACAATTGGAGGCGGTGGCAGTCAAGTGAGGGCGATGACAGTCTTCGAGGGAGCTGCGGTGAAAGTCTTCGAGCGAGCGGCTGAGGCAGTCATAAGCGAGCAGCAGCAAGAAATTTCATTCCAGCTAAACATGTTAGGAGTTGCAGTTGAAGGTTCAATTCCTAAAGGAACATCCTTATAAAGTACAACATGCAAATTGCAAAGTAGCTGGGAAATCCTACATAGAAAATGAGTTAATGTTGTCATAAAGACAAGTCCGTGGATGACTTATCTGAAATCATTTCTTCTTTAAGAGCGGATTATTAAAGAAAAGTAAAAGCACTAGAGTTCCTATTCTTAATACTATTTTGGAGTTCCATATCTATATTTTAGATATATAATTTCGATCGAACAAATCATAGTAGAAAATTTACAAGTCCGGACTTCTAGCTGTCAAGACTTTAAAAGCATAACTAATTAAGTACAAATTGAACAAAAAAAAATGAAATTTGAGTTTACCTTAGCACATTTGAAATCGAAGACCAAAATCGCAGATTTGAAATCGAAGAACAAAACCCTAGCTCTGGATGACTGATGCAAACTCGAAGGCCTCAAGAAACTGTGAGCAGCCGACTGCAATAGAGTTATCAACGACGCACATATAATTGGCGGCGGCAGAGCTGGAGGCATGAGTCGGCAGGGTTGAGAGGCCAAGGAGGTCTGGACTGTTGGAAGCCGCTCGAGGGAGGAGGGGATTTGGGCATTGATAAATGATACGGAGTAAGTGCGTAGATAGAGAGAAAGATATAAAAGGAATAAGGTTTATTCGTTGCGGTTTTGCCAACGTTCGCAACAAATAGCTGAAAAGTTCAAGGTATTTGCTGTGGTTATTCCTTGCCCGTAGCAAATGCTTATAAATTTTGTGTATTTGCTGCGGTTTAACTAAGAACCGCAACAAATGGGTAGCAGCAAATAAGGAAAATTCTAATAGTGTGATGACATACTTGTTGCATGCTCCAACATACAGCAAATCAACAATATCAAGCAATTTCTTGATAGCAAATTTAAAATCAAGGATCTTGGACTTGTCAAATATTTCTTAGGATTAGAAGTTGCTCGTTCATTTGCTGGTATATACCTATGTCAACTCAAATACACTATGGAGTTACTACTGAGTTTTGGATATCAAGATTGCAAACCAATTTCCTTTCCCATGGACAATAAACTTCGACTTAGTAGCACTGATGATCATTATCTCACCAATGCTTCCACTTACAGGTCTTTAGTGGGCAAATTACTTTATTTAACCATTACAAGACCAGACATCAGCTTTGTTGTACACACTTTAGCTCAGTTTATGCAGAAACCAAGTCATTCACATCTATCGGCTGTACATAGAGTTCTCAGATATTTGAAAGGCTCTATAGGACAAGGACTTATATACTCTTCTAATTCTGATCTTCAATTGAAAGGTTTTTCAGATTCTGATTAGGCAAGTTGTATTGACACTAGACGTTCCATAACTGGATATTGCATGTTTCTTGGAAAATCACTTATTTCATGGAAATCTAAGAAGCAAAACACTGTATCTAGAAGCTCTGCAGAAGCTGAGTATAGAGCCCTTGCTGCTACCTCTGCAGAAGTCCTTGGTCTAATACAGCTTTTCAAAGATTTCAGAATACCCACATCCAAAGCAACTATCTTTTGTGATAGTAAATCAGCACTAGCAATAGCAGCAAATCTTGTACATCATGAACGAACAAAATATGTGTAAATTGACTTTGATTTCATTCGTGAACACATTCAATCTGGCACTAGTCATGCGCTTTATGTTCCAACAACTCATCAACTAGCAAACTTATTCACAAAACCTCTTGGACGAAATTCTTTTCATTTCTTACTATCCAAGATGAGCGTTCAGAATCTGCACTCTCCTCTTGGGGGGGGGGGGGGGGGTGACATACTATACAAGCTTTAGTTGACCATGCAATATTACACACGCCCATGTTGACCTTGAAGTTACACATGCACACGTGGGATCTTCTAGAATACTCCTGGATTTTCTTAGTGTGTTAGTTGTTAGTTAGTTAGAAGTAGTTTCAGATATTTATCAGTTGTATTCATTCTATAAATAGCTGGTTTTATATTTACTTCAAAGATTAGATACATTGAATAAAATTTCCAAGTTCTTTTCTTCCTTGTTCATACGAATCAATCTTAGTTCATGTAGAAAGATTTCAGATTCTTAAAATCTTCAGTTTCCATTTATGAAATTGTTAATTTTGTGTGCAAGTTTATGGTAGAGTTTACTCATTATTAATTCAATTTTATAAATTATTAATTTTTCTATACAAGTCCATTGTGGAGTTTACTTATTACTCCGTATTATTCTTATTTAATAAATTGTCAATGTATTGTAATTGTAGGTGTGTTGATTTAGATTCTTATAATGCTATTTTTACAATTATACTCATATTACTATAATTCTGGTCTTTCTAGTTTGTTTGACAAGAATTCCTTTGAAATGATTTTATACACTGATTCCTGAAGATAGTAAAGGGTCGAGCATTGTGTGTTCTTCAGATTACCACATCCCAATTGTTCTCGTTCATCTGAAACATTAGTTGCTAATAAAAAATTAAGGTATTCTTTAGTTAGTTGTTTTGTTTAAATTTTGTTTTTTTCTTAATTACAATATTACTATATTGATTATATAAAAATGATTTATGTGCTAATGTGCTTCTCCAAGATCTTCGACCTAGTTCCGTCACGACCCCTAACCACACTCTATGAGTGATATTTTTTGTACTCTACTTCGGTGCCGTTAACTAGCAAAGCATGAATACCTAGAGCTCCGGACAAAGCAGCAGCCTTCCAGCAGGTGAAGAAATTGCCAGTGAGTTCGCCCAGACTTCCGATCGCCTAGGCAGACGATGGCCGAATGGGATGCTGGAAATGATGGGTTCACAGGGACAATCTCGATTGGTTATAAACTTCATCACTCATTGACTTGTGAGTTGTAAAGTTTCTAAAAATGGGTCATTTTAAATGTTTAATGTTTGGGCGTTTTTTAGTAAGGTCTTTTTTTTTCAATCCTAGATCGAGGATGTTGTAATGTTTTAGCAAATTGTCCTTTCATTTTAAAGAGGTCCATTCGTTTTGATTTAATCTTATTAAGGGGCTGTTTACTTTCGACTTAATGATCTGTATGCAAATAACGACTTATTCGGTCATTCATATACTCTTGTTTACTTAGGACCTATTTTAACTCTTGACTTATTCGCTCAGACCATTTTTGACTTAATAGTTCAGCCCACAATCAACACTCCTTAGAGCATCTTCAATGCTCCTCTTTCAAAAGGAAGTAAATTTTGCCAAATGTCAATAAAATAGAGTAATATTAATCCATGTCATATACAAATCAAAAGAAAGAGATAAAAAGCCTCCCAATGCATAATGTTAACAACTTCAAATAACCACATGTCACTTATTTATTACTAAATAAAAATAGAACATATTTCATAAAAACCGTAAAAGTAATTTGAATGATAGGATGAAGCAGAACACAATTGGTAAAGTATTTAAAAAAAAATAGTTATAGACAAATTCATCTACCGCAATAATGCATAAAACAGAGAGAAAAACTGGTCAAAATAAAAAAATTATGTCAAGTAAATATACATAATAGAAAATCTAAATCCAAATTATATGTATATATATATATATATATATATAGGAATGATTCCGTCCAGCCGAAGGGACAGGAGGTGCCGTCGAGGCGCCACCGTTTGGGGCGTGTCCCGGTGGAATATTTTGATGAAAATTTCTGAGCATGTTCCTCATCAAGTCTAGTTAATTCACACAAAAAATCAACTAAAAATTAGACCGGGAAGACAGTCAAATAGTTTTTTCAAAATAACTGCGCCAAAATATACATATAAAACATAGTTATTTTCAAAAATTTATTTGACTGTCTTCTCGATTGAATTTTAACTGACTTTGTTTGTGGATAAACTAAACTTGAGAAAGAATATTCTCAAAAAAACTTTCATAAATAAATTCAACCGGGAACCTTCCCAAAGGGCGGTGACTGGATCGACATTTTTCATATATATATATATATGTATATGTATATATATGTGTATATATGTGTGTGTATATATATGTATATATATATATATGTATATATATATATGTGTGTGTATATATATATACACATATATATATATACTCGTATATATATTTTGTATGCATTAGGTGGATTTTTGGGAACCATTCTCTCTCCCATATGGGTATAATAACTGTATGATGCCGGCAAAATAGCAAATGTTTGTTCATTTTTGACGAGTCATCATGTTGAAAGGGCTTTCTAAAATTCGAAATTGGGTTTAACAGCGTTGATTACACATATACTTAACAGGGCAGGCATCGGAGGTAGAAAAACTATCACACTTTCTAAATTCAGGCAAATTTCCTTTCCGTAAAAAGTCAGGTTGGAGATGCTCTAACCTCTCTTACGGCAGCCAAGTGAAGAGCTGCGCACAGTCCATCGCCTACCGCAGCAACCTGCTCATTTCATCTCCATCTTAGGCTCTCATCCCTCACCTTCTCCATATTGGTATTTCCCTTAATTTTTCTCTTTAGTATTTTCTCTCTGTTTTGTTTTCGATTTCCCCTAATAAGAGTTCATCCTTGTTCTCTATCATACTTTTCACTACCTACATGAAGTTTCGAATTTTTGGGGTAAATTCACTGCATTTTTATATTTAGGTCAATCTTTTGTAATTTAATTTACATATGCCATATTATTAAATTTCATGTTTGATGTTGAATAGTTTGATATTAGGGATTTATAACTCAAACTCTATTTTTTGGATGAAATAACTTAAACTCTGTTATTTTTTGGTAAGGTACAACAACCATAATAAATCTTGAATCATACTTGTATTTTTAAAAAATCATTTCTTTTGTTGGTTTAACTGAGTTTTTTTTTCAGGAATTTGAGATTGCCATGTAATTTATTGCTTAAAAGATTCCTATGTTTATAGTGTCTTGTTTAGTATTTACTGTTTTTTTCTCGTCTTAATGATTAGTGTTTGAGTTCTACTGCTATTAAGGATCTTTTTAAGTGCATAATTTCCTGTGATTAGTGTTTGATTAGTGTTTGAGTTCTACTGCTATGCGCTGATCTAGAAGTAGATCATACTGATGTGAGGATTTTGATGCTTGTTTGGTAAGTCAGTTGTTGGTGTTATATGTGTGTGTGCACATGTTATTAAAAAAAGCACTCCCAAAGTTGGAGGCAGAGTTATTTTGAGCTACTTTATCTTTCTACTAATGGCATGGTTCATACAATGTGCGATTTAATTTGCAGCTTATTCGATAACAGGTCATGATGCCTGCTAATTTGCAGCTTATTCAACTTTATTTGCATCCTCCCACTTTAGAATTTCTTTTCTACATTATGTAAATCTTTTTCACAATAAAGTTCCATAGTGTTGAAGAGGCAATTACGCTATCAGAATGGTACAAGCAACTGGAACCCGAAGATATTGGAGAAGAAGCACATGTAGAACAAGTCTACAATATATGACGAATTTGCGGAATGAAATCGCTAATAGATTAGAAGGAAACGTTTAAATTTATAGTGATGTTCTCATAAAGACGAATGATTTTTTGTTATTATGTAACGTGACTTTTTTATTTTTATAATTAATAGCATTATTATTCTCAGGCATCTGAAATTATGTTTCACAACAGAGAAAGTAAACAGACAATATACATTCAGCACTTGTTCCAGACAGAAGAGTTATTTGGTCATTTAACGTGATTCAGACTTTCTATTTAACACACTTAGTAAACAGTTTGTTATCCCACTGTCACTTAATCCAGACAGACAGCTTAATGCAGACAGACATCTTAATCCATTCAGGACTTGATGGAAAAAAAGTAAACAGCCCCTAAGTCATGTTTCCACGGCTTTATTTTCTTTAATAAAAGGCTGCTAAATTGTAGACTCTGTGGTACATTTATGTGTCGTTTGGTTCACTTGTAGTGCATATATATACATTCAGGTACCAAAATCTGTATACCTTGTGAAGTTAAGCTCGAGTCTCAGTGATGGTCGCTTTATTTAGTTCTTGTGTGAAGATGCATGTGAGGCCCCACAAATTATATCCCAACATGCCCCAAGTCAGTGCTCCTTTTAGATTGGCCACTATTCGCTGCTCTGCCTCTACACCAAACAAACGCTACTCCATCACTCTCCTTCCTGGTGATGGTATCGGCCCCGAAGTCATCTCTGTTGCGAAGAACGCTCTACAACTCATTGGCTCTCTGGAAGGTATGTTATGGTGTACTTCTCTTATGGAAAATAACAAAAACATTGTATCAATAGGAAACGTTGATCCCCAATGCTTCTACTAGATAAAAGTATTCAAGCATCGTATTGTGTAGTTAACTTTGTTGCAAAACTTCAACATCGCATACATATACCTTACAAAATACACATAAATATTCAAGAGTGAATAAATTAATACTCCAGGATTTGATCAACTTTATCAACACAATTGTGAAATGTTCCATTTTTCTAACTTCTAAGCAACAAAAACATGGGTGTTTAAAGTGTCCTTAACTCCTTAATTATATGAGAATTAGGACCTTATGACTGTGTTGAGTTGAAAATGTTGCAGGACTTGAGTTTTCCTTCAAAGAGATGCCTATGGGAGGGGCATCTATTGATATGACGGGAGTGCCATTGACAGAAGAGACTCTTTCAGCTGCAAAGCAATCTGATGCTGTTCTTCTTGGAGCTATAGGAGGGTGAGCAGTTTATACCTGTTGTATTGTTTTATGTGGTTGGTGATGTTCCATTATTTGCGTGGCGGTCTTACAATATCAATTATCTAATAGGCATGGGGTAGCAAATATCCAGCACATTACCCTCAATTTTATCCATGCATGTGAAATAGCCTATAGTGTTGACTGTTGACGGATATGTTCATCTAATTATTTCTTCTTATTAAGGTTGATGAGGTGACACAGTCGCCGCTTTTTTGCATGAGTTTATAGCATTAAGTAATTTTATACAACTGATTGGTGAATTGGCACTATAGTATAATGCTCCTGTGCCGAACTGTTTGGGTTCAAGGTGCTAAAAATGATGATATATAGTTTTATGGGGTAATAGTCATATCTGATCTATCTTGTTTGATTCATTGTATGTGACAATCTCTGATAAAGGTATAAGTGGGACACCAATGAAAAACACTTGAAGCCAGAAACCGGATTGCTTCAGCTTCGAGAGGGTCTTAAGGTATTTGCGAACCTCAGACCAGCGTCGGTATTGCCACAGGTAATTTTCATCTGGACAGCCTGGACTAAGTGGTTATTGAAGTCTTTGTTGGTCTGACTTGTATTCCATTGCTATGTACCATGATGGTCACCTGCCTTTCTTCATGTCATAAGTTAATATTAAAGAAAACAAAAATGGGGTTGGATCTGTGCCCCTGTGGTGGTTGTTTGAATGCTTTTTTTGAAGATTACTCCCTTTTTTTCATTTATTTTTTAGAAAATTTGTGTCTTCAAGTTTGCTTAGCACATTACTTCTTTGGTTTCTGTTGGGTTAATATGCCTTGCACATCTGTGACTTACTTTCTAGTTCGATTTCTCTTACTATTACCAGAAGGCAAATAGAATTAGTTAATCTCCTTGACCATGATCAGTGGTAGTTTGAATATCTAGTCAGATAGAAGTACTAAAATACCCAAACAGATATAACATGTTTGACTGTTTCACAATTATATTCTGAAAATGTCAATTCATTCATCAAGATGCCTTTTTTCGTAATTAATCTAAGTATCTAACCTATTTATAGTATAGAAAAGGGCAGCCCGGTGCACATTGGCATCCCCGCAAGGTGAGGGTCTGGGGGGCGGTCCAAGACTTGAACCCGTGACCTCTCAGTCACACAGCAGCACTATAATCGGTGCGCCAAGGCTCCCCTTCAACCTATTTATAGTATTTGTTCGATAATAATGCACTCCTTGACTTGGATAGGATTTGAAATCAAGGTGCTCGGCATCAAGATCACATCTATAGTAGTAGATCTTCACTATTTTAG